TGAAACAGAAAGTTTAATTATCGAAACTTGTTCTGAAAGAGCGACGGACAAAACGAAAAAACCCCAAGTGGGCACTAAGTTTTATCATTAAGGCTCACTCCATGAGAGTAAAAGATAAATAAATCACCCTAAGTGTGAATTCGCATCCTATCAATAAGACACATACAAAACAAAGCCACCCCACCGATTTTTTATCGGCAGCTAGATAATCCTGCAATAAGATAATACTGCAAAAACATAAAAGAGAGCACGGTCCAAACGATTGAGCCTCGAGTAGAAAGATTCTCAAGTCAAATAAACGACTGTTTGGCGATCGCCTGTATCTAGTCTTAAGCCTGAATCATGGAGCCAAGTAGGACGAGAGTCCTATTGGAATTTAATAATTTTTCGCACGGGAAATTGGATTTGTTTATCTCTTTTCTGTTGAATTTTGTTACAATTAGTATGTTATCCTATATATGTTATCGCTTGTCAATATTAATGACATTGCGTCCGCCACTCACGAACTTCATCATATCACGACGCTCCTTTTCGTTACGACTCAATAGTGCTTGAATACAAACTCATTCACTGCCGACCATATAGTGCACTGTTGTCTTCGCTCTCGCGAGATCTGAAAGGCCAGACAAGCGAAGAGCTACTCGTACAAATAAGAACCGGCAGTGAATGCGTTAAGCTTCCTTATCAAGCTTTCAAAACGTGTCCCGAGAGACATTCGTCGTCTCTTAAATCAAGTTACTTGCGTTAAATAAAAGCTTGCTTAAGCGACGATACGTTCGATATATTAGCAACACGACGGGCGACGACGGTCCATCTGGACACGCACGAGAATATAATATAACCCCATATGTATATAAGCTATATATACACTCACAACGCATCATGCTATTCTAGATATATGACGATGTAATTACATTTGGCGTATGTTCGTATGTGCCGTTACACGTAACCAACAAATGTTAATATTCTTCCTGCGTGCAAAAGTGCGAACTTCAGTAAGGATTTGCTAACCGTCGAACTAATCAACATCATACCTGGACTCCAACAAAATTATCATTACTATAGTTATCTGTACATTACGTGATTCTTATAAATTTCTATCGATACGGACGCAACAGTGGCAAACGCGTAAGAAGAAAGGTTTGGCAGAAAGTGAATCTTTCGAAAATGTATCTCTTCCGTTCAATTAGCGCTCATAGTATTACAGTTATCGAATCGCGAACTGCTGACTCACTTTCTCAAAAGGTTCATTATTTGCTAAACGTAATTCTATATATGTATAACTGTTATGTCAACTGATAAAATATTATCAGTCCTTCAGTTAGTCCTTTGACCAGCCACAATATACGTCCGTATCTTTGATACAGTTTCCGTTTTATACAATGTCTATATATATATATATTTATCGCGTAAAGGTATTGAATTACCTGCCGCAAGACTGTAATTCAATTGATGCAATTTAATTAGAATGATTGTCTATTATTTGAAATGCGCGCTCTCTCAGATCCAGGTTATATTGCATTACATAAATTAATATAACGCGATTTTAACTAAAGCAATGTTTCGTATTCTTTGTAATATCTTGACAGTCGTGCTATGTCAGTGTCGGTTTAAACCAAAGAAATGTGAATGTCTTATGATCGCGTTTTGTTTATTTTCCTCGTTCATTGATGATTTGTTACGTCATCACTCAATTTACAAGTTATAAAATTACATAATAACGCATTTATTTTAATTACATTTATATATATATATAAATACAAAGAAGGAAAACTAATTTTACATTCATTAAAATTCACATATCAAATGGATCTATGACGTGTAACATGACATTAGCAATTTATCATTATAGATTATTCGAAAAATTATTTTATTTTTCTGTAAAATAACAATCAGTACGCTTATCATTTATAAAGATTATGATAATCACGTTTATCATGCTGTAAAGTAACTTTCAAGTTTTTTCATTTTTCTTTTTTTAAATCATATATTTATATCGTTTCAAAATGTATTTTGTAATCACAAACGTATCACTCGATGTGCAATAATAAATTCATTTATTTATGCTCTTTTCGGAAAACTGAT